ACTACGTTTAATGCTCGGTAGTCGCCCCTTGGTCGCCAACTCATCCCATCCTTTTGGTGAACCGTGTGGAGTAGTGAGGCCCGAGAACTGTGAGTAGGACGGATAATACCTGTAGCTAGTATATTGTCAAACTCACGTTCAGCGAAAGCTTATTTGTTCGGTGCCAGCCGACGAGGTTGTGCCGTGACTGGTGGTCCGCGGGTGACGATCTGGTGTACCACATGGTGAGTCATCGATGAGATCTCATAAAGTGGTTCAGTAGGCTGGGGATATCTTTGAAGTAAAGCGTGGAAAATGTCATCACGCGAATGAAATACCCCTGTATTACTGTACGCACCTGTTTGAGCTCGAAAGCCCATAAATTTGCTGTTCGCTGAAGTATCGGTTAGCTTCAGTCTGCGTGAATCAACTAGCTATCCGTAGGGCTGTAGGAAATCGATACCGAGTATGGCTGTGGGAATATCAGCGATGATCAACGTCAACACATACTGTCGTCGGTTGCTCAGGTTTACCGTCAGCTGTCGTGTAACATATGTGGGAATGACGGAACCATTCGCACAGCGTAGTCGAAGCATCATAGGTTGAGACTTGCTGCTACCAAGCGGTACGACAGAAACTTGGGCACATGTGTCAGCGAGGTACCTAATGGTAGTGCGGATATCGTGCACGTAAAATAGGTGGCCAACCTGAGGTGAGGGGCAGACCAGTACGGCCGCGTTTACTTGTCGGCTTGGAAGTTTACCGCTTGTATGAGCAGGGTGCTCGACAGTGACGGGCGCCAGACCTAAAGGACTGGCGGAACCAACACAATCACGTATTCGCTTCCGAACCCGCCTCTTGGCGTGGCTTGAAAGATGCCCGCTGGGGGCGATTACTTGCAGCCTTTCTTGATGGAGAGCGGGCTCGTGGGACGTGGGGTTCAGGAACAGTAGGACGATTTCGAAAACTGAGACGGCTGTGGATAAAGCAACCTCTATCTCTTTGATCCTGAACGTGATTAGCATCGAGGTCCACGTCGGTATGTGACGTGGAGGCAACCGTATCGTTGCCTCGGTAGCTAGTCTGCGCTATAATTTTGTTCATAATAAGTGCAGCCTGGCTAATTGGCGTGTCTTGGGGCAGAGTGGTGATCGTAGGCTGAACATGGGCTGGTAAGGCTTCTAACCATAATTCTCTGACGATGTTAGAGTCAGATGCCGTTGGTCCTGCTAATGATTGCAGGCGCGTGAGGTGGTGGCTTGGCTTAGCATCACCCAGGGGGTGACATGCTAAGAGTGTCCTCAATCGTAGCTCCTTTGATGGGGAGATGTCTGAGAATCGCCTGTCTAAGACGATCATAGACATCTGGAAATGTGGGGTTGAGAATGGCCGCACGAACGACGGCTATATGATACCCAGGAAGGTATTCCAGGGCGTAGGCAAACATATGCCGCTGGTTCGTGATGCAGAGGATCCCAAACTGATATTCCACTGCCACAGTCCAGACCTCTGGGTCGTGGGGAACAAACGCCACGGGTCAAAAATTTAGAACCTGCATATAGGAGTCAGCTAAAAAATCGTCGTTTTTAGGTTTATCTACCATTTTCGAACGCTGTTGTAGTTGTAATATATATATTCAGTCAGGAGACGCGTGGAGGAAAGGAATTGGAATAACACATTTGGCCCGCGAGAGATAGTTTTTTGTACAGATAAACGAGAGGAGTAAAATATAACAACTATTGTCAGAATTAAGTACAACAGTAAGTGTTTATATTTCAGCAACTGAGTTTTTTTCGTAAAAGTATACCACTACAAGGTAATTCTGAATTTCAGGGAAATAAAAATTAAAGTCGAAATCGTGAGTTATAGGAGTACATTTGTGTAGACTTTTCTATGTAGACTTACACATCTTAAAACCATATTACACCAGTTCCTAGCATCATAAACGTTTTCTAGCGACAAACCTTCAAGTATTCACGAGAAATAACATTTAATATGAGCCTCAGCAGATCAGCAAAGATCAATATCGTACTTTAACGAACCATGATTTTGAAGTAGAATGAGAACGATGTAATTTTTTCATAGATTTAGCCACTAGTCTTACAAAAGACTATCTGGTCCAGAGAACAGTGAGGCTATAAAGAGATAACGCCAATGTCTGACCTTAGCTTTTCAAGATCGTTCTTTGAGTAAATAATTATCTGCACTTTTTGATTACTAATAAAACCCTTTCTTACCCAGATAAATTGCTTCCTATTTGGACTAACTGGGCAAGGCGCGTATCTAGACTCCTAGAACTGTTTTTCCTAAATCAGAATCCACTGTGGATTTGACAGATACTAAGAAAATGCAACCAACACCCTTTAATCCAAACCTCGAAATAATCATTACCTCATATGCATAGAAGTACAGACTGAGAGATGCTATTTGCCACATTTTCTCGGATGTTTATCAGAAAACTCATGCATATGCTGCCAGAATAATTAATATCTATCTCCGAAAAAACTACAGTCAAAAGAGAAACACTAGGAATTATTTTCGCGGTCATTAAATTCAATAGGATAATCTATGGACGATATTCTATTATTTTTACGGATAGTGAACATTTCTTAGTAATCTTAAGTTCAAAAAAGAGATTCTAGTTTTATATGTTCTTTGATTATCCTGAAGATTGCTAGACAAAACGTTGGAATTACCCAAATTCCAATTACTAAGATTCTTTCAAATATGAATCTTGCACATAATATGTGAACGTTTGTTAGTAAACATGATATAAATCAATCGTGATTTGTTAGAAAAATCCAAAAACAATAGAAGTTCATGCTAAAGCCAGATCCCAGTTGGTATTTTTCAAGAAACAATCCATTTGATGTCGCTATCATTCTACAAGTTAGTGCGGTCAGTTGACATACAAGTGGAGTGAACAGACATTTATGTTCATAAAACTTTAATTCAACTACGCGCATCAAGTCCGGTGTTTAATTAGAGTAAATTCAATAAGCGACACAATATTACACAAAATCCACGAAAACACCTGCGGATGACCCTTAAATCATGTCAAAAAGTGTCATTTAGGAGGAGAGATAACTGTCGATTTCGGACAAGACAAACTATTTTGTCTGGTTAATGGCCTTCACATGAACTTATGTAATTTTATTTCGGAGTATACCATCTACTTGATGAATTCCCAACCTGGTGGCACATCCAGAGAACAGATACGATCTAAGTAGGAAGAATCGTGTATATTTTGAAGAACAACTTAGAGGAAGTTAAGGCGAACAGGTGATCGACTGCTGCACATGCTTATCTTATGGCGTAAAATGATCTTTTCGCGATAGTCATCCTTGGTTGATTTATCTTATTGTTTTCCTACTCCGGACACATAACATATAAAAGTTAACGATTTGTCAGCCACAAGTTACCACTCCCTGCTAAAGTTATTAATAGCTTTGAACATGGATATCATGATGAGAGATTCAAAAATATCGTCAGCCGTAGAGAGTAAGCCACTGAATATATTTCTGTTAGGATATTCACCAAATTTCCTAAGAGTACTATTTTTACAAGTATAATCCTATAGGTCGATTTCTATTGGTCAAAATTATGGTCGTATTAACTGTCAAAGTCAAATACTTCAATTTTGTCTCCTATTGGTCATCCGGACTGTCAAAGTCATTTTAAATGTTCTTTCCTACTGGCCGTCCTAAACTGTCAATGTCACAGACTTTGATGCTCTTTCCTATTCGACCTAAATGTATAAATACGCACTATCTATAGGAGTTCATGATTTCGATTCCGTTTCTTCCTGCTTACCTCTCTTCTGCACTCGACCCAATAAACAACTCCATCGAACGGTGTTGCGTCCTGATATATAGGAGATTTGGAAATAGTATTTTGAGTCGTATTGGGATATTTGAATTTGGACGCCGCTAGTACTGAATAGCTATACGTAGCAGCATTATAACAATTTCAAAGCCTTCCAGAGGAAACGCGAGTAGCCACGGGAATCTGGAAACCAAAAGACTGTATCGGATATGATTATTGGTTTAAAACCATACCAATAAGTGTCTGAATGCTCCATGATCCTATTAATAATTATGATCAACTCTGAAGGAATATGCACATGACGAAACTTTATTCGCTCAGCCAATCTGTGTGTTCTCTACATTTGTGATGGTAAGGTTCAGACAGCTGTCAGTAAACGGATTCTCTTACAATTTCTTTAAGCGATCTCAACTATTGAGGTAATATAATGTGAAAACCTCGGCTAGCATATGAAGAACTCTGAGACTAGAGCTTGTAAAATAAATTATCATTTATTTATATATATTACAAAAAACTACTGAGTCATGTAATTTCCTGGTGACACATAGCTAAATACAGCTATTCTGTCCAAAATCAGCAATAGGAATCTGGTCTAAACTAGTATGGATGTGTCTAATAGAAAAAAAAATGCTATCTTCTACGAAACGTACAAATTAACTACTAATTTGAAGTTTCAAAATCTCCAATACAAAAGACAATATCATTCAGACAAAACAACACAACTGTTTATTATGCTTTAAATGTCAGAGCAGGTAGCAGTGATAGAAGACAGAAATACTTATACAGTAAACGTGAAATGTTTTAATAGACAGTGTATAGCATTCAAGAAGACTAACAACTAGTTAGAATGAAATTATCGGAGAATTTTTCATTAGACAATCGACCTATTGCTTTATTTCACTTTCGATTCTCAATATGAGAAGAATGAGATTATGATTTACAGGTGATTACGATATTACGTGACATAATTCGAATAATAATCACCAAACAATATTTATAGAGTTTCGGATAAAACTAATTGTCCAGAAAATAAATAAAGCTAACTTAAGATAAAAGCTGAGAAAATATTTGTTAGTTAACCAAGAAATTTACTAGTCTCATAGTTTTGCTAATTATACATTATCAAATGATACATGTTCTGTTATTGAACAAGAAACAATATTTAGTTAAAATAATTTTATTCTTTTGTTTTTTTTAAAAAAATACTATGTTTATTTACACAGTATAAAAGCAATAAGGAGTACATTGATTTGTAGGAAGATTACGTGCCAAAAGCCCAGTAAATTAAATGGCTAACAACAAGTACATTGACACTGTTACCCAACAAACGAAGACGTTGCTTTTCCGTAATGCGTTCTGGAAAATCTAGTCAAACAAATATTTAAGTTGTCAGTAAAACATATAAGATGGAGAGACTTTGTAAACAATTAATGAACAACTGATTTATCGATGTGTCCGATTTAAAGATATTCAAACGATCACACACTCAGAGAAATGGTAGAAGACTAATAATTATGGTAATTCAAGAGAAACACACATATATAGGTCTACTTACGTTTATTTTTCTTGTATTTTTTTATCTGACTTTAAGTATTGAGTTATGCTCTATTAAACTAGGCTGGCATGTTTTCCATGTCCGACCAGCTTATTTTCTATTACTGTCTGTCTGCATTAACGAATGTATGAAATGTACATAACCGAAACCCATTTTCATGTTCGCCTTATTTTATTTTGTCATTCACTAAGGCGAGTTAAGTATGATACATTTATTTCGTGAACATAACAACATTCAATAATTATGGAGTCACATTAAGGGGTCTATAAACTGGTGCACCCGATGTGATATGATACTAAATGCTACAACAAAGTAACTGTCAGGGATTGCATTCTCTGCATATAACACACACCACAGAAATCTCGTTATCAGAATAAACTGTATCTAAGCATAGACTAAAATAGTATACTGACGGAAGGAAATATCAGGAAAGTGAAAATGACCCGTAAAGAGATTTCTATGGAAATTCAGAAGTAGGGACAATGGTATTGAATTTAAGGTATCTATTGAGAACAAAGGTTATCCCACAAATGCAAATGAACAAGTTAATGTAATTAGTAGATGTAATTTAGTCACTGGCAACAATTTTGTGAAGAAGGGCAAGAGTGAAATATAATTTAAGACATACAGATGATACTGTGATCATGAAACCGTATCGCAATAAACCATTTTAGTAATTTTATCCTCTAGTTGACTCTTGCATAACACGATCTGTCAGTCAGTTACAACGTAGAACTTTGTACGTACGTACACCAGTTCAAGTTGCCATACCACATTAGCACAGAGAAGTAATTGTCAATTCGAATCCAATAGTAGTAGAGGTAGTAAGTGTATTAGCAGTAGTCGGAGAGGTTAGGATCAGAAGATATTGTTTAAGAAGTAGAAACTAGTGAAATAGACTAAAAAAGATAAAGATAAAGTGATGAAGAGTTAAAAAGTTTAGGATTTGAGAGAACACAAAGAATGAATGCACCTGCGCCATTGCGAACGGTTTTGAGCCATGTCATTCAGGGTCTCTAACCATCAATTACTAACATCTCGCGGACCCCAACCAGGTAGTCGACACCTACCGATATGGCTCAGTCCACTTGTCACTGACTTCATGCATTTCTACCATGTTTTGGTCCGGCCGCCCCTAACTTTCTTCCAACCTACTACTTGACCACAAAACATCGCTCGTTGAGGCAGTCGGTGGGTCGACATACGTAGCACATGTCCCAACCACCTCAACTGATGAAGCTTCATTACTTTATCCATTGATCTGCCATCCTTACCTAGTACCCGTTTCCTAACGACATCATTGGGTACTCGATAGTCCCAAGATAAACGAGCAGTACTTTAGAGACACCAATGATCAAAAATTACCAATCTGCGAATACATTCTATTCTTCCTGGCCACGTTTCGCATCTATGTAGTAGGACAGAACGAAATGCTGCGCACTACACTTGTCTTTTGGTTAGTAGAGGGATATCTCGCCTACGCCATAGGTGACGGAAGTTGGAAAAAGCCAATCGAGCCTTCTGTATCCGTGCTGACGTTTCATCAATTACCAGACCATCAGCACTGATGAGACTCCCCAGATAAGTGAAGCGGTCGAAACGCTCAATTGCTTCACTCCCTATCACTAATTCAGGTGCCGATGCAAGCCAGTCCTGAACCAACATTTTGCATTCAGGGTTGGCATAACAAGGATAAAAAACGGGATGAATTAACATAATAAGTGAACACATATACTTTCAGTTTTAATCAATAGTGAATAGTCCGTCCATCAGACAAGACAATCAATTGTAATTGACCATTTATTCAATGCAACTGGTGCATTTACAAACTTCAAAGCTACTGGTCCAATATTTTAAGTATCATATGATCATGTGGTTGGATATGCACAATTTTAGAGCTTCGAAGTAGTTTATAAAAAATCATAGGTGTGACCAAATTCATTTGTGGTTCTTAATCATATATATATATATATATATATATATATATATATATATATGAGAGAGAGTATCCTGGGATAGAGTGGTCATTTCGGTCTTGATGAGGAGAAACGACGGACATACCACTGTAGTTATAGTAATTGTGTCAAAAATGTACAAGATTGTGATAAGGCGGTTTTAAAAGCGGTTCACACTAAACCCTTTCGCTCTAAGTACATCCTTAAATGTCTCTGAAACTTGTCTCATTTTTTAAAAAATGATCATCTACTCACCACCTAAACTATATCTGTCCTTCAAATAGCAAGTACTAACCTCAGACTACAATATTTAGAAACGTGTATAGTAATCCCCAGTTGTCATAACCTATGAATCCTCTCTATAATAATAATGACAATGATAATAATAATAATAATAATAATAATAATAATAAACTAGATCTAGTATGAAGTAAGTGCACAGCTAGATGAAGTCTAGACTAGCTGAAAGCCGACAAGTATTAAGAATTTGTCTAACCACTGACATTAACTTGCGACAGTATATAAATTAGCTGGATGGAGGGACTACCATTCAACCCTTATGTGCATGACATCAAACGTTCTACTATTAGTGGAACGAAAAAAAATGTAAAACAGAAAGTTAGTCAGATAAGCTTGTAGAAATGTAGAAATTGTAAATAATAACCTCGAAAGGCTGTGATTGGTGGCAGACTTTATACAAGTTTTACATTTTCCTCTCTTAGTAACAATATTTTACCGCATCGGATTATGATTTAAAGCAAAGTACACTGAAAATGATGTTTACACCGATAGTTTCTGCTAAATAATGACAGATCATGTTTTTACAATGCATTAAATCGATAAACAGATGTTGCAAATTGAAAAATCACAATAAATTAAATAAACCATGTATGTGATCAAATTCTTAAACTATTAGAAATAATTCATCTTAATTACAACTTACCAAAACTCTTTGGAAAACACATCATATTGGCTACTTCACGAGAATGAAAAAAACGAAGTTTTAATAGTTTGGCATACTGTAACACAGCTTGTTCATCTTCTTTATTGGCTTCATAGTAGTTGTTTATTTTTTCACTCGTCTGTATGAGCCAGAAAGAAGAGAAGAATATCAACACTCAGTACAAACAAGAACCATTTATTATATAATAGATGGAATATAGCTAACAATGAAATTCGGGAACCGTGTTTCGTCCCGTTTGGGGCTCGTCAGCTGGGTGTACCTTCGCTCCAGAGTTGATGTTCATTCCACGATTTGAGCTCAGTATTTTTTTTGCATTATCCACCTAACTAGAGTCTAGAGAACCCTTCGGCTTTGCAACACACTGAGCGTTTGAAGGAAAGATGCTGGGTTCTAATTTCAGCGTGTGTGCACAACCATATATATAGTGAGTCTCAAACAAGATGAAATGCGTGTTCTGAATTCCACTGCTAGCCACATTCCATTTATGATACAAAAACTTGTGACATGATGACTACATCGAGACAATCAGGACAGGATGAATAAAATGACAACTAAGACTGATTGGAATTCCATCCTTAATATCAACGATGGGATAATTCGAAGCACTAAGTTGCATGTATACAAACTGTGGAAGTAAGCTATTGAAATACTGAGTAATTTAAATATATCATTACAAGGAAACAAACAGATTCAGATTCTTCAGTAGTTTATGTAAGGAAGAGATATGAACTACCCAAGATTAAGGTTGTATGACAAAATAATACAGACGATCAAATTTTTATTAAATTTAATAATAAATACAGAATTACGACACGTTATAACTAGATTAGTAATATGAAGAGCAGATTATCTCAAATATGATAAATGAGTACCAAAATAATGCCATGTAAACTTCCTCTTTTACAGCTATAATCTAGCAACCACCTTACATTAAAAGCTCCAACATGTAGTCTAGAACGGGGTTTCAGGAGACCAGGAACGACGTTTTGTGAACTTGCTTCCTCTGCATTAGCGGTGCGGTGAGAAAAGGGAGTGTGAGGAGAGTTAGTCGTAGAGATAAGAGAGATATCAGGGGGTGTAGGAAGGATTTGATTTTGACCAATTTGGTCTCGTGTGCTGTTACGGGTATGAGGGCGGTTGTCACTTCCCGGCTGCCCACACCGTGGAAGGTTGACTCTTGAGGGACCTGAAATAGAAGATAGATTAGTGTTGGTGCGTGACCGCAGAGCCCAAGGGACAACTGCTTGAGGCCGGTCACGCACGGCCTTTATATGAAACGTTTTTTGAGGATTAGCTCCGTTCTTAAAGGCCCTTAGTGGGCACCCTTACCCAAGGAGACGGAAATCCGTGAGGTAGGGTGAGGTGTCATATTTTTAGGGCCGACCTTTTCTAACCCTTCCTTCCCTGTGAGAAGGCAGCATCGCTGCACATGCTGGTTGTCCGAGGGAAACACCTTACTGCTGTCACACCCCTCTGCAGTCAGCAGTACGACTTCGCCCTCAGACCTTGGGTAGCTGCTTTTAGTCTCATCGTTCTCCAATCGACCTGCCTGGCATGGTAGGACCTGCAGGAACGTATGTTCCAGCCAGTATAGCTCGGTTGGGTCATGACGATAGGCAAGCCCGACCACCACGTCAAGGTAGCAGCAACCACCTTAGTAATCATGTGTCACATATGTTTATAAGAGTTTCACCCATAAATTTAGTTGTTATAACAATAGTACCAAGATAGACGAAGTTCACTGTCTATAAACAACCTCTTAATTGATAAGTAAATGTCCACAACATTGGTACCTTTGTTTATCCTATTAGCAAGCAGAATATGAATGCGTCTGTCAATATACACATACTTATTTTAATGATCTAACATTCATATTGTTGTGCTACATTTATTGTTTCAGCTTCAGTCAGACTCATATTGTATTCATATACATGAATAAAACTAGGACAAGTTACGGCGATAATCATCATTCATACAAATTGTCTGAGACAAAAAAAGTACTACCAGTGTATAGCCAATCGGTAGAATAAGCCGAAATTAGTTTTTCGATAGTCAAGCAAGGATAGTTTTTTAATTCAGCTTGTAAACCAATACCATACCGTAGTGTAAACTTTTTCAACAAAATATAACATTCATCATATCAGAAAAAAACAAAAACAGATGTCTAACTTATCACAAATTGATCGCAAAATGAGCGTTCTCTTTATCTGATGTAAGAAACTTACTTCATTTTCCATGGATGTTTGAATCACAGATCCTGTGCCTTCAATTCGTTTTGAATAACCTTTTGTAAAACAGCGTGTTTTTTTATCACAAGATCTAACAATATCAAGTACACGGAAATACCGTTGAAGACACTTTTCATCTAAAAAATATAACTTGTAAAAATAGTCAAGTGAACACAGGTTAACTTACATCTTTAGTATTGTCATTTGGTACCAATAGAAACTCTGATATTGGTCGACAAAATTGGATGTATTCAGCAAAATTATCATCTGTACGTTGTATATGACTTATAGAATAAAAATATAAACAATGATAAATAAATTTTGCAAAGAAATATATAGATTTTCGTAGGTCAAATATTATTAATAGTCTAAGATTATTTCATTAAAAAATTTCTAAGTGTTTTTAGAACTAGATGAAATAGTCATTCATTAGTGAAAAGTAATAGCCTTGTAGTGGAACGCTTCTACGAAGAAAATACGATTTGTGAAAAATGAAAATTATTGTACTCGTTTTGTTTAACTGTACCAAAAACACTTCTTCCACTTCTTGCGCGCAACGTTCTCTTCGCGTTGCTGCCATTCTTCTAAATGCCCTGCTCCCGATGTAATGCCTACTGTCTCCTTCAATAAAAGCTTGGAACATGGATTTATTTTGATTTCAATGATGGCGGGATATTATGGAACATTTAGTGGTGATCATAGTCAATCTGGTATCTTGACTCGCTCACTAAAGCCTGATGAGATCTAAATGCTTTATTGTTTTCTAATAAGATATTTGAAAAGAATCATAATTTCTTTATTGATTAAGCAAGATCTTCGCGTGTACAATGAACCCCATTTCTGTCTTATGATTATAAAATAGAAGCTTATAAAAAGATATATCAGGTGTATATTACTTTACAGTGGTACCTGTAAACATTATTAGATTGTCTATAACAAAACTATATAATGGACCTTTGGAGATTTTTTCAATACAAGCGCTTAGAGAATTGTTCATGGTTGTAACTGCTTTACATGAGTACATGAAGGTGGAAAGATCTAGGATAGTTGGAATGAATGATAAAATTGTTCAAATTGCTTTTGGTGAACAACATCAAGCAAATTTGTCGTAGTTAATGACTAATAATATTAGATAATGGCAGTATTAGAATACATTAAAAAAAAGTGTAAATACACAAACTGTGAACATGTATTTATTAATTTAGATAAGTAATATTAACTGAATGACTAGTACTGAAACAGAAAGTTCCAGAAAATTGCTTCGTCTTAGTTTGAGACCAAATATAAGTAATTAGAGTTGACAAATTACTTGGATAAACCGACATTTTTGCAGAAACTATGTTCACTTAACAAGCTGAAATGGAATCTAGTAGTTGATAATTTTAAAACTGATAGCATAAAATGCCCTTCTGATGGTTTAGAGAAATAATGTAAGCAACATCAAAGAAGAGGGCTAACGAGATACAAAGTAATGGCTGATTAAAGTATGCTCGCTATAGGATCTGTGATTCACAAACTCGATCTGTTTAGAAGTTAACTTTGATCATTGTTGATGTGTCATTAGAGTGGAAGAGCTCTTAAACGCTGCTCCCTTCATTATTTTTAATTGAAATACACCCCATGAAAGTAAAAAAAGAATCCCACAATAATTATTGGAACTCAAAACTACTTACCTGATAACACCGCTACAAAAAGCACATTGGCAACCGGGCAAAATGGGTGCATCGATTGGTGGTCTCAGTTCGATCGATTCCGATTTTCCCATCTTAAAACTTGAATTCCAGGATGATGAACGCAAACGAGCGAGAAGATAGAAACGAAGGCGACAGTTAGGTATACCAAATTGCAAGGGAGAAAGTAGGAACTGCTATAATTCAAACCAAATTAATTAAATATATAAATACAAAACGTAGTACACTAGATAATCAAGAAATATATTCAGCAGTTATATTTACATGTATGTGTGACACATTCAGTTCATTCATTTGTGAAAGAATTCTATATTTATGCAAATTAGGTTAATAAAGCTTTGTAATGAAATCTACTATTCGTTTATTGTTATAATTAAACACTTTGGTTGTATGTACGCGATTATACCAGCATCATAAAGTTTTATTGGTAAAGGTTATCATACTACAGTTTTTTTCTAATTTGAACGTTTGCAGTAGTCGTTGCAACAGTGACTGATAGAAATTACTAGATATTTTTTATGGTTTTATGAACTAATCAAGTTATTTGTTAAATACGTTTTCAGTAAAATCATCAATACTCTAATTTATAAGGATGTTATTCGTGAACGTCAGGTTAACCAAATAACTTTCTGTTAAAAGGAAAATACCCGAAGACCCAACAGCAAAGAAAACGCCAAATTAAGAGTGGTAGGTTAATCTTTATTTCGAAAGAACGTCACACGTCAAAGTGATTTTAGGTAACAAAGCGTAAGGTTTTAATTAAGTGAACGTAATTCCTCGACAGTCTTAATCTCAAAACAACAAAGTAACATTCAAGCTGATAAGTAAAGATTGTAAGCGGTTACGGAAGAAAATCTAGGTTTTAAATGATAGTATAAAATGCATGAACCTAATCTTTATAGAAGATTTAAATGAAATTCCTCTTAGAAGTACTGTTTGTTTTATTTATTTAAACATAAAAATTGGTACAAAGGGGTACCTAGATATTTATGCGCCACACAAAGCATTGAATTTGTGTGTGGGCAGAAATACTTCTCCGGTGCCCAAACCGATGTAAATGACGCAGAGGCTTAATACACGAGACAGTGGAGCAACATTAGGAGATGAAGTTCCATGGTAGCCAGTGATCAAAATAGGTTCGTATGCCATTTTTTAAGTCAGGATCATGATGCTGATGTGTGCCATTGGTTTGGAATCATGCTTTACCAACTTTTCTAGGCGAATCTTCCGTACCCACCAACTACTTAAGTGCTTGATATTCGCTTTTTGACCTCGCAACTTTGAGAACCACTTCTCTGGTATTAGGTATATACGTGTCACCATATAAGAGCAATTGGAGAGGGGGAGAGGATTCTCCTCGTCCTCAGTAGTGTCAGGGAATTTGGGGTCACCAACGTAAATGTGTACAGTTTCAAGTGTAGTCGTCGAATAGTTCCCTAGGTTATGGTCCTAGCAACTAACATTCGTTGTCATTACATATTTTGACAAATTTTTATTCAAACCAATTAATTTCCAATTATTTTGACTTCTATTAATTAGCGTTCCTTGTGATTACTCAGGAATTACAGAGTTGCCAAACTTGTGTCTCCTACTTTAAGGTACAATAATCAGTTATGGATTCGTCAATTTATACTGTCGGGATATACAAAGACTTATCTTCTTTTGTGGCTGGAAATCTGACTTCGATTTAGACAAACAATTAAATATGTTATGAAATAAATCTTCCATTTAATTTTCTGTATATTACATTTCGGCTTACTCCGTTTGTGAGATGGCGGTAAAAAGAAGTCCGATACGGTTTATTTGGGATGAATTTATTTCATACATCCAGTAAGCAAACAGACATAAGAATGGAAAGTGTAAAAGAGAAGCGAAGTGAAGGGAAGAAGGCGAATAGGTCAACTCACTATGATGAAGAATTACTATATGGGCACGATAGATTAGTACACATCACACAACCTATTCGGATATAACGAGAACAGTCTATGTATACGCTTCTACGTCAGATTGGGTAGTACAATAGTTTTGCCAAGATCAATTTCCATCAAAACCTTCGAAATTATTTCTACGTTTCACACAAGGATGTTAAAGTTCTGTTTATGTGACTAGATTTACGAATGACTGATATAATGCAACTTTTAAATATATAATACACAGTCAAAACTTTTGAATTGGTAGGAAATATTCCAAGGAGACTTTGATATTACTACTACTTTGTTAAGTCCATTTGAATGTGCATAGAATTCAACACTTGTAAAGACTGCCCCAGTTAGCTAGATGGTTTAACTATAAAGCTTTCATTGTCCTTCTGGATGACATTATCGGCTCTCGTCACCTAGATGAGGGGACTTAACAACACCAGACTCATCTATCTGAGCTGTACCAGTCAGTTCGGTCTCTCGGTCTTTTAATATGTTACATTAGCAGGTATGTAGCTTAAAGCCATGGAGATTTTCTATTTTTGTGGATCCGAATCCCGGTTCAGCGGTTAAGAACAATAAACAAGTCACCAACTACAATGTAGTCAACAAACTCATATGTCGCTGTTTTATTTAAACTCGTTATCGTATTTATTAGCAAAGCGAAGAGAACTATAAAATTTTATTTCTTTGTTGACTGATTAAAGAATATTAGTTTTGTTTCAGAAAATCTATTTACGGTTAGGCTCAAATAATAACCAGATTATCTTATTTGATTTACGGTATATTTATTTTCCCAAAATTGTTGTATAGTAGAAAAATAATTATACAATAATGGTGCTATAATATATTAACTATTGAAATTTTAACTGATAATATTTAATAGTTTAATATCCAAAATTTAAGAAAATGAAGGTAAAATTAAGTAGTCTTACTCGATATTCATAATCACAACTGTTTAACACTTCTATCAGTTGCCTCCATGGTTCAGAATGTTCAAAGCCCTTTACGTTTTCAAGTATAATTCCTGCTGGTTTCAGACTAAGCTTTATTAACTGAATGATTAAACTCACATGCTTATTAGATTAAGAACATGAAAAAATGAAGAGCTTCTGTTATCTGCTTCACACATGCGCTTTCCTAACCTTGTAAATGGCTGACAGGGTGGACAGAGACTCCAAACGTTTGTGTTCAAACTACACACAAAATCTGCACTAAAACTCTAAGGCTTAAAAACGTCACACGAAAGTATTTACCTCGATAACACGATTAAGTGTTAATGTATTGGGGAAATTGTATTTATATACATCAGTTGCAACGTCATTTATCTCTACAGCGGCAACCACTTCATGTTTCACAGTTGACTCTTAAAGTAAGATTAACTGATAATTTGAATACTCTGAAAGGCAAAATGCATTCCTCCTATTCCAGAATACAATTCCAAAACACGCATTTTCAGTAGGATAAGAAAACGAATAGTTAATATCTGGAATGAAGAATAAAAGTATTTATATAAAACAGATAACGAAAATCACCTTATCAAGATTACACAGGAAAAATATATTATTCAGAAATAGTGCAAAATGTTAACTCAATCACAACTCGTTTTTAACTTTTATTTAGTTTCGTTATTATAGCTGATATGATTGTTTTTATTTCTATCATTATTTCGTTGGCTTTCCATCAATGTTTGGCAAATATATATCAGCCTGAGTTAAGAGATATACGCTTAATCTAAACACACACTAGATCATCATATTATGTCCTATTAAGAGGATGAGCCTATGTACTGTTTTTATTAAAAAGTAGCAAGGATGCCTTTAGAACATATTAAGTAATTGTGTAGTGAATGAGAACACAGGTGGGGCAACCGAATTGTATTTAGCGAAATTACAGAGTTACTCAGTAAAATTGGAAAACCATATCGTAAATTGTTCATTTGCAAAATACCAGTTCATCCGATCGAACTGGACTGTTCCTGTTGCCAAACATCAATCGATTGTCATTATTCATGCGTTTCATACAAATTCCATTGTTTTCTAACTCTTCCTTTCTTGATCTTTCCCCATCTCCCGCTGCCGGACATTACGTTGACGCTCACGTCATATACTACTTATAAGTAGCTCACACCACACTTGTTATACTCCCTGCTAATACAAATAATTGCACAATGCATTTTATCGTCGCATATTAGAATGCAAACAGTTTGTTTAAGTAATATTGTTTACTGGAAAATATCAAGTAATTAACATATAACCAAACACAAGACAACCGGTTATCTATGGTAAGCTCTTACAAACAGAATATATTTCCATTGACCTGAAATTCGTTTGCATTACTAATAAATGCTCATTGAGCCTTGTTAAAATCACTGATTCTACTTTTCCCACTCTGAGTAACCTCCCTTTTGAGAACAGTGATTACTTCTGTGCAACCTTTCATAAGTAACATGGAATCCATTTCTTTACTTACACTCGTTAACCTTGATGGAGCATTCTTTAGCCAACTCTGTCCTAGGCTATTTATTCCTTCTATGTCTGTTTTAAATTCTCGGCGCAATGTGTTCTTTGATCTTCCTCTTTTCCTCTGGCGTTGAAGATTCCAAGCTTTAGCTTGCTTTGTGATGCAGTTGGGTGGCTATATCAATGCATATCCCATCAACCTCAAGCACTTTTCCCTAATTCATTCCCAAGTTGGAGACTGGTATATTATCTCCCACAGTAGGTTGTTTCTGATGGTGTCTGGCCAGTTGGTCTGCAGTGCCATGCATAGAAAACTTTTAACAAACACCTGAACCTTTTTGGTGGTGGTTTTGGTAGTTCTCTAAGTTTCCACTACATATAATACAACAGTTATGACGTTTCTGTTGAAAATTCTGACCTTGGTGTTGGTTGTGAGTTGTTTTGAGTTCCAGATGTTCTTCAGTTATAGAAATGATGCCCTTGCTTTGCCAACCCGAGCCTTCAAATTTGCAAAAAATCCACTTTATTTACCGATGATGTTGCTTTAAAGCTTCTCTGCCAAGTGTGATTTGGTCGGTGCAGATTGTGTTGTATCTATGGATCTCACTTTTTCTCTTATGTATGCACAGGTAGCTGCTACATTAGCCGTCTTCACTTGCATTTGTTCTCGTCTGTGGGAAAGAAGAACTGGGTGTCCACTGTATTTAATGTTTCCCCTTAGATATTGAGGTTTTTATAGTCCAGCTAACTACCAGAGAAAGAGAAAGGGTGAGAGTAAACAACTGGTTTTCACTTGGAATGAGTCTGTGAACTGTTTTCCGTGCTCGATCTGGCTGTGTTATCTATCATTGGAATTCCCTATGTTGAATCTCTCATCACGTATATCAAAGAAGCCTACATAGTATCAACCTGTCCAGACTGACAAATACTTTCTCGTAGTTAATGAAGTTGATGTATAGTGGTGAATTCCATTCAATTAATCGTGCCACGATGATCCGTAGCGTTACGATTTGGTCGCTACACGAATGAGCCCTACGAAATCCAGCCTGTTAATCTGGAAGTTAGGCGTTTAATAATTCTTTGATTCGGTTCAACAACACTCGATTGAAGACTTTTACTGGCAGTGATAGTAGACTGATATCTTGGCATTTTTCGCACTTGCCGAGATCTCCTTTTACTGGTATCTTGATGAGGAAACCAATTATTTGAATATTAATGACCGATTTAGAGTTTGTGGTGATATTAAGTGGTATTCGTTAGAACTGTCATTCTCTGCTTTTATTCAATTTATAATGGGCATGCTTTAAGAGTTTACACCTTTTGACAGACTTTTTTGCTAAGTTAGCCATCAGCAAGATAAGAAAGTAGCCCAACTGTCCATCGGTTCAAGTTACCAAGCCACGTTAACATAGAAAGGTGATCAAAGCAATAGTATCAGTGATAGTGAAAAGATAAAACGGAAAATACGACCCACAAATGAGTCTGGAAAGTGAAGACAGTGATGGTGAAGAAAATGTTTAACTGTTGTAGTGCACTTTCAGACATTACAAACAATGTATAGACAGATATCTTTTTGTAAATGCTTTTCATATGTTCAGGAAATTTACTTTTCCCAACATCCCGAGACCTCCGTGAGGTTACTGAAATTGCTAGAGCAGTACAGGTTTTTAATACTATACGGGAATTTTTATTCTCTATACCTACATAACTATAGATGGAAATTAGTGATAAAAATTAATGACTGAGATTAGTGAAAATGCATTAGGCGACTTAAATAAAAATAATGAGTACCTAACCCGCTTGTAAAAAGCCACTTAATTCAACATTTTATTAGAGATCAGAAAGATTTTCATTAATTTTACACGATAATCGAAAGTGCCTAAATCAACCCACTAGGACTGTAGTTGGTGAAAACGTTAGGTATAACACAAAATGTTTTTAGTATGTCCAAATCCGAGCCCATTGAATGTAGGCCAACGCAAAACTAGGTTTTGTGTTGGTGTTTGAGAATTCAGAATACGAAAATAGAAACCCTGCTTTAAAAACTTATATAATTCAAAAGTGAGATTGACGTTCGAGTCAGAATGAGATCATGACACAGGCAGAACGTGTTGGTTATGAGTCCCATGGAGGGATAAGACTCATTAGGACTTATTATAACCGTTTTTACCCTTTCCTGAGTTATGAGCGGCAGCTTGGAAGTATAAACTGTCTTGTTTGTCGCTACACTCCACATATTACATACTTTCATAAAAATTTCGTCAAACGTTTAGGAGTGTATAGCATCTTGACTTGAGGAGAAAACACATTCAAAATTTTTCCGTGATAGCTGAATAAATAACTCTCGTATAAACAGTTTTTCCTAGAGTTGCAGCAATCTGAACAAATCTAGCAGTTCCGTAAGTAAGAATAACATTATTATGACACCTTAGAATTTTGTGAACATATTTTTACAGACATCATGTACGAAATCACTTAACGGCTAAACTCACTAGACCATAAGAACCCAAGGTCACCAAAATCCAAAGTAACGTACCCACTTCCAATATCCAATATCTTTTTCACGAGCTAGTGTAAACCAATTTGATTTCTTCGCGCTCGATTCTTGTTCTTTCGGTACGGTTCCAGGTGTTCGGTAATGTCCAATGGATGGAGGTCTAGCCACTCGACTGTCTAATTCTAGTCAGTTGGCAGTTGGTTGTGAGTTTGTATGTCTCGGGATTTGAATGAAACGTTTGTTTCAGGGCAGTAGGGTTTCTGGATACTAGCAGCCGTCACATTACCAAACCGGAGATCAGTTAGTTGCAATGTGGAGAGTAATAAGGGTAATAAGGGTAAATTAAAATGATAATATGAGTAAAATTTCAGAACTGAGTAATATATAGATGAATTTAGTTTGTTAATTGGTAGTGAAGATTGTGAGAGAGGACCGAAGTGTAAGCAAGGGAGAGGAATAGGCGAGTTAAATTAATTAAGTGATCTGAGGAGATGGCAATGGTAACAACTAGCAGGTCTCAAGATATGCATCAGGCACAGCTTGTCCAAGAGGGAGATGATAGTCCGCATGTGAGTACGTGATTATCAAGTCTCTTCTTAAAGCAGTCCACTGAGGGGGCTGTGGTTACCTCGGCTGGGAGAGCATTCCAAGTTGCGACGACTCGCAATGAGAAAAAGTGTGCACGAACCTGAGTGTTTGCTCTTTGATGTGCAATCTTTTGAGGATTGCCTCGAGGGGAGTGGTGGTGATGCATCGGTAAGATGCTCACATTGGGATGGTTGGTCGTGTTTAATATGGTGTACGCCATAATCAGGTCACCTCTGATTCTCCTGTAGCTCAGTGGGAATAATCCCAAGAGCTGGAGTCTATCGTCGTACGGTTTATTTTTCAGCCCTATCACCCATTTGGTTGCTCGTCTCTGCACTCGATCCAAGAGATTAATGTCTCTTTTAAGCATAGGGGGTGCGATGACGTTGTGAACCTCCAAGTGTGGGCGCGCGTACGTCTTAAACAGGGTTAAAAATAATTTCGGGGTGATAGCACCAAGCTGTCTTCGCATAAAGTGAAGAGTCGCATTTGCCTTGGCTGCATCCCCTACATAGTTCGGACTCGTGTGGAGGCTTTCTGTGGTTATTAAACCAAGATCGCGCTCTGAGGAGACATTAGGGAGCGGACTTCCATTGAGAAAGTAGGTGGTTTGCGTCATATGAGGCAGGAAATGCATGACGTGGCACTTCGGTTGGTTGAGTTTTAAACCGTTTTTCACTGCCCATTCCTCAATGGATGTAAGGTCCTTTTGAAGCTCAGTCGAATCCTCTTCGCTTCTAATGGATCTCCAGATCTTCGCATCGTCCGCATAGATCAGTGCCGGTGAGCTAACTAAGCTTAGAAGGTCGTTAATGAATATCAGGAAGAGGAGTGGGCCTAGGATGGTCCCCTGTGAAACTCCTGAAGTGGATACTCTCCAACTCGCGTGCACCCTGTTTACCTTGGTGCGAAACTTTCTATTCTCAAGGTAGTTTCTGAGCCAAGATACGAGCGGGTCAGTGAAGCCCATTTCCACAACCTTTTCGATTAGGCGTGCGTGGGGCACTGTGTCAAAGGCTTTTGCGAAGTCGAGAAATACTACGTGCACTGGTATTTTACGGTCCAAGCAGGATGTCCAACTGTCCCATGCGATGAGAAGATTAGATGCACACGACCTGCCTTTCCGAAACCCATGTTGAGCTTCATGGAGTATTTTAGTCTTATCCATGTACTCCCTCATTTGTTCGTCCACTAGCCCTTCCATAACCTTTGATAATATAGGTAGTAGTGCGACTGGTCTGTAACTGGCTGGGTCCTTTCTATCTCCTCCTTTGAAGATTGGAGAGAGAGTAGCTTGTTTCCATTCCGCTGGGAATTGGTGTGACTCCAGTGAATGCCTGAAGAGGTTGCATAACGGTGAACAGAGGGCTTCAGCGCACTGTTGCAAGACTATAGGGCGGATGTTGTCACAACCTGGTGACTTACCTGGGCGTAAGGATTTTAGTTTCCTTAATACTAGGTCAGGGGTGATACGGATGTTCCCTAAGCCGTCAGCTGGCATTGGGTTGGCGTAATACTCTGAACATGTAGGCGCCTGGTTTAATTGATCAGAAAAATGGGTGTTGAAGATCTCGGCCATTTCTAGGTTGGTGAGGTCTTCTCCGTTAGGCCCTTTTAGGGGGCACAACCCTTGATTAGTAGGTTTTCTTTTGGACATGAACCTAAACAGATGTTTCGGGTTTGCCTCTATTCTGGCGGCTAGTATCGGCTGGAATTGTCTCCTGTCGCTTCGAACTTTGGTATTGCATCTGTTTCTCAATGCCAAGTAAGAACTGCGATCGGAATCCTTCAAGGAGACCTTCCACTTGTGCCAGGCTTTCCTCTTCGCCTGTAGCAAGCGTTCCGTGCCGCGCCTAACCCAGGTTCTTCTGTTCTGGCGTTTTGGGTGTGATTGAGGTACATTGTCTACGACAGCGTTTTGGATGATATCTCTCACTGCTTGCCAGTGATCATCTACTGTCAGCCTCCGCCACTCCCGTGGCCATGGGGCATGTAGGAGCACCTCTCTCATGCGTGTGTAGTTTGCCCTACTGTAGCAGAGGTAAGGCTCGTTATTGTCCGGTGTCAGCATTTCGTTTGTGACCATGTTAAACAGGACTGTGCCATGGTCACTACTACCTATTGGAGCGCGGATGTTAACATCCTCAACCAGGAGCTGGTCGTTCGTTAACAGATAATCTAGGTTTGAGGACTTCCCTTCCTTAGTCCACCTAGTGGCGCTGCGTACATGCTCAGTCATGCCAGAGCTTCTAATGGCTGTACCAAGTTGTCTTTGGAACCAACCAGTGGGGGTGATACTCTGGTTGCTGAGATTTAAAGATGGGGTATTGAAATCTCCAGCTAAGAGTATTTGGTCGAACCCCAGGAGTGGCAGTTGCAGAATTACGTCAACCAGTTTGCTTTTCTGGGCCCTAGTACCCGAAGGAGGTCGGTAGATCCCTCCAATCAAGTATTTCGTGCCATTTGAGTGGAACCAACACCAACATGATTCTGTCACCTCAGTTAGTTGGGTGTTGTATAGCCGCTCTGCTTTTAAGTGGCTATTTACATATATAGCCACTCCACCTCCAGTTTGGTGTTCCCTATCGCTTCGGAAGAGTGTCATGCCTGGCAAGCCCACTTCTGCGTCGGCAATGTCGGGGGATAGCCATGTTTCTGTTAGGATTATGATCTTCAGATCCATCTGAGAGCGCATATTCCTGACTTCTAACAGCTTACCCCTTAGTCCTCTTACGTTGCTATAGAGGCACTTGGTGGTTTGTCTCTGAACCTGGTGCACATTTGCAGCATCAGCCTTAGTCGGGTTTTCAGACAAGTTATTTAAACCGAGTCGGCCAGTTCTGTGGGAACTGGCCTCTGCAGGTTTTTTGCCTGCGCGGTTGGTTCACTCACATCTTGAGCCAGAGGTAGTTGACCGAGTTTAACTATCAGCTGTGTGCGTTCATTTTGGCCTCCCTGTTGTTGTCTCACAGATCTAGGTCGGCTCTCGCAACATCTGATGTGGCTAGGTAGATCGTTCTTCGAACTGTACCAAGCTTGTAGTGTTTCGGTCAGGTCTTCCCGGTTCCTGAGTGTTACAGCTATCAGGCGTGGTGACTTGATAGACGTAAGGTGTGACGGGCGGGGCAACCTGGAGATGGAGACTGCCATCGGGGTGTGGAGGGATAAGCTACGCGATAGCCATCGCCACTGTTGCACATCGTGCTCGTGTGCTTCGTCCGGGTTACCATTGGTGAGTTCGGGTATGCCGTGAACTACCATGGTGGTCTGTTCCTGGGTGTCTGGTGCAGTTCTGGCTGCTGCACGTACCGACCACGGCTTGTCATGCCTGATACGAATCAGCGAGGACAATTTGACCGATGGTCTTTGGGACGAAAGGATGATGTCCTCAGCTAGTCGTGCTGAATCAAGAGTTACCCTCATTGGAGGGGGTTTTCCTTTCGAGACGTTCTGACCTTTGAAAAGGCGACAGATTTTAGCTGGGACCTCGCACATTCCGAGGGTGGAGCAGAATTTATCCCATTGCTCTTTGTCGAAGGCAGCCCTACCTTCTAGCAAGCTTCCTTCCGACACTGGGACGTTAAATAAGATGAGGGAGTTAGATCTGTTGTCCCTGGTCTTGGGTGGAGGCTGCTTGTGAGTTGGGGTGTTTCCCTTTCCCTTCTTCACGGTTACCGATTGTTGCCTGTTGCTGGTAGCTACTGGGGGGACAACAACAACCGGCGGTTTTGTCGGCGTGTTAGGCAGGGTTGTTGTAGCCTTGGTCACTTGTTTTACCGGTTTAGTGCCAGGCGATTTTGCCTTAGTCGTTTGGACTTGAGGGCTGGTTTTAGGTGAGACCTGTGGCTTTGTCAATGCCTCAGAAACTCTGCACCGAGGGCAGACGTACCAGAACCATGGGCAGGGGTGACTCAGCATGAAACCATAGTACTCTTTAGGTACTGTATTGTCGCAGTGACAATGTACCCACGTACTGCAGAAATTGCATTCAAAAGCATGGTCGCTGGTTTTGACTGGTGATGAGCAGGCAAAACAGTCGTCCTTATGCTGTTTCAGTGTCGACCGAGCCTTGGGGCGTCTTTTCCTCCTATTCTTAACTGACTTACTGGTCTTTTTAGGAATAGGGGTGGTGTCTTGCCTCCTCTGTGGTGTCTGAGTTGAGTGGTCTAAAGTGTGGACACTGAGGGGCGTACTATCGACTGACCTTTTGGGATTTTTAGCAGCCCGTTCGCACGATATTGGAATTTTTGATGCGCTATCGACCTCGGGGTTTATGCCTCTATAAGTCTTCCTAGTTGTTACAGTGTAAAGAGTACTAGTGACCTTATTACTTGACATGATGCCAGGGAGATTGGGAGGTGATTACCGAGATTAAAATATGAGATACACAAAATTAGGATACGAGATACACAAAAAAGGGGTTTAGGAAAGAAGAAATCTAGTAGTATAAAATAAAACTACAAGGAATAGAGCCTGAAAGTACTCCAAAATTGCAACTTTACCTTTTACCGTATTAGTAAGTAACTTTGCGTGTATCCAGTAACTTGTCCACAAGTCCTGTGTTTGTGAGTGAGTGGATGTATGTATGCTGCCGAAGCAACTAGAAATAGAGCAGTTGAATGAGGTAGCTAGACCTACCGCGCAATGGTTCTGACTTGGAATGGTTCCGTATTCCCGAAAATGTTTTCAGATTGTCAACCAATGAATGGAGACAACTTTTTATAGCTTCGGAGGTGATAAAGTATCCCGAAAGTGGATTGTTTTCCGTAAATGGAAGAGAGTCAGCGAGTGTATCTAATACGCAATATCTTTTTCACAAGCTTGCTTCTAGTTTTTGTGGCACCATTTCGTGTATTGCATGATTACCAATGGATGAGGTGACTACATCAATTTCTCCTCGCACGAAGTGAATGGTAACCTTTGCCTTCGCACCATCACTTATATACTTTAAACAGTTGTCATTGCTCTCTGTGGTTATTAGGCCGACATCGCGCCCTCAGAACACACCAGGGATAGTAATTCCATTGAGGAAGTAAGTGTTCTTGTGTTTCATGAGGCGAAATGTAACATTTTGACTAATTAAGTTTTAACCGACTGTCCAGTGACCATTCCTCTTTTTTTATAAGGTAATTTTGAAGCTCAGATAAATCCTCTGCATTTCTAAAGTTCACTAAGAAATTTAAGTATAGGTAGGCGATACCTATTTAGGATTTGCAGAGGTTCTAAGAAATTTCCTACAGTTAATTGAGAGATATTTCCATTCGAAAAGAGAAATGAGAAGACATATTTTGTGCGATAGTACCATTTCGTGCTTTCTCGTCAGTCACATACAAGCAACATGTTATTTGTGTAAATACAGTTTTGAAGATAGGGTCAAAAGTTCTTATGATGTATTTATTTAGAAACTCCAACCTCACCTTTTCCATTCGTTCTCACAATAAGCTAGCAACACTAAGCTGTTAATATTTGAAATAGTATTATTTGTTTTTGAACATTTCCCAGATTATTCTAATCTTTGATGCATAATGACAAACATAAAATGTGTTCCCTATAAATAAAGCAGGATTCTTTTGAAATGAAATCAACGACTTTGTTTCCTTATTCTATTTGTCTGAAGGATCAAGGTAGTACTCTGTATCTCCTCACATTTTTGAAAATACAGGGTAACCCTGGGCAAACCATCTACAATGTTGAACATTTTCCAGACTGAAACATACAATATGGAGTGTTTTCCTAGTATCGTCGTGTTTAAGGGTGACTAACTGATTGAATACATGCCATGGAACCAGCATGACCCATGATGCTCGAGTTGTCATTGAAGGTCATTTTACGTAGAACGGTAACGGGAATAGCGTGCCGTGTTTGCTGCTCAAGTTGGTGTGCCACACCAAAGTGCTTTCTGTCCGGAACCTGAAGACGGTTTTCGAAATGTTAGGGCCAGAAAACGATGCAGACGTAGGACTGAAAACCCACGAATCGTGTTCTATCGTGAAAAGAGAAAAAATCACCATTCAAACAGCTTTAAAGCAAGCAGTGTGGCAGATCCGTAAAAAACTTAACTAAGATATGATAACTACAAGACAATTAACAGTATGCCAAAAATCACTGCTAATAAGCTGCCCTAACATAGCTTTTCAGTAACAACAATAAACAGAAGAAGAGTAGCACTCTAAAACAGTATTTAGACAATAATGTTGACAGATGTAACGACGGAAATGTTATCTTCAAGCTCCGTCTGAGATTACCACCAAAAGTAGAGTTCGCTCAGTTCAAAAAATATTCTGCACAGTAGGTACCATCGACGTGAAGGAGAAATATATATCTGATAGTTTTAATGAATCAAATTTCACGTCCAGTAGTCCTACATAGTGGCCTAAAATAGAATGCTGCAACACTTTAATTCCCAAATTCACAGGCCGTCGTCAGTTAAGAGGAAAACTGAATAGAGTGGGCAGGATTTTATTTGAATAGCAAAAAGATAGTGCAATAATCCGGGCAATTAATATCCGTTCACAATTAACACAAATTAACAACTTGTTATGATATTCATCCAATATCTTAATATAATTGCTCGTTAGTTTAATTGTATTGGTCAAGCCTTATTGGTCGTCCTAACTATCAATGTCACAGACTTCAATGTTGTTTCCTATTCTACCTAATTGTATAAATGCGCATTATCTGTATCTTTTATGAATTGGACCCGGACCCGGATCCCTAGTCCAGGATACTGATTCTCTTCTGGACTGGAACCTCATACTTTCTGGATGCTTGTCGAATACATGTTCTACTTCATATCAAGTCTTCTTCTACTGAATGGGGATTGGGACACTCGGATTAGAATAGTATGTCGTTTTGCCGGATCCTCGATCCTGGCTCTCGTTTTCCGATCAAGCTAAACTCGTAATAGTTCAAGCAAATCAAAATGATGTGCTTACGTGCATCCGCAACACAACAGATATCGAATGTAATTATGATAACACAAAGATACGAAAGATATAATTTTTACATCATGGTCACAATTACTGAGTATGAATGACACAATACAAGAAATATTATATATAAGTAAAGAACAAAGGTATAGTATAAGAGTAAATTGTACTGGAAGGGATTTTCTTGTGTAATACTACACACACATGAAAGTGGATGCTGCGGCCATCCATAATATCATTGAGGGAAAAACATTGAAGACTGATTTTCAAATGTATATTACACTAATCGATAACTATATTTTGATTAACCTGGTTGGTTAGCGTGAGCTTCTAGTGGTGATCGAGTCGAGATTGACAGTTGTCACCACTAAATACTAATAACTAGCTCGTCAGTGTAAGAATAAGTAAATCCAGGGTAAAGGAAATATTTGCTGATGATTTCGTGATGTCTAATGAACAAGAAAGTGGGCGACATAAAGAGCTGCATGTAACGAAGGATGGCAGCAACACAAACAGAAAGTTGTGTGTAAGTAAGTGTTTTAAGTACAGTTAAACAAAAAGGGAACTATAAAACAGTTATTGTTACAATTGTGTGCAATAATAAATGTTTCCATTTCACCTATTGCGTTCTCTTCGTAAAAGCATCTTACTACAAGCTATTAGGTAGTCAGTTATTATTATTATGTGAACAAAATTTACAATATAATATAATCAAACTGTTATTACGGATAGATGTGTAGTGGAACGCTTCTAAGAAGAAAATACGACTTGTGAAAAATAAACACTATTGTACTCGTTCCGTTTAACTTTACCAAAAACACTTCTTCCAATTCTTGCGCGCAACGTTCTCTTCGCCTTACTGCCATTTTTCTTAACTTGCTGCTCCCCATGTAGTACCTACTCTCTCCTTCAATAAAATATTGGTACCTGGATTTGTTTTGATATATATGACGGGATAGTATGGAACATTTAGTGGTGATCATAGTCAATCTGGTATCTCTCACCACTAAAGATGTCACTAGTTTACTCAATTATATGATTACGCAGTGCTGATAGTCATATGATTCATTTGAATGCAATGCTACTGAAGAATTATCTGTTACAAAAGGGTTAATCTAAGATTGTAATATTTCAGGCTTCACTGATAAGTGTGAATCGGTTAAATTAATCTTTTGTGACAGCTGATTGTCATAACTGTCACTTCAACTCTTTGACACAGTGTCCATGACCGGGTTATTTTATGTTTCACGTATATGATTTGTATTTATTATTATTCTATGGTTAGGGCTAGAGATGTAACCATTTCATTAATCCAGAATTATCTGCATATACTGGAGAACTCGTTATTGATTTCAACCAACCATTATTCTCTGAAAAGGTATTCTTAACCTTCTAAAAATTTGTGTCATTCGAAATAAATAACTTATTTCATAAACTTTTTAATCGGATTTTTTGATGCATCCAAACTGCCTCGTTGGACAGTAAAATATTAACAAGAAACACTGTGATAATAAGGAGTAATTATATTTAGTATATAAACTAGTATTAGCGAGAAATTTCTAATCAGTATTGTTGGGGTTTTTCAGTAGCTTCTAAATTCGAAGAACAGTGCAAGACCTTTCCCGGTCCAAGACAACAAAACAGCAAGTATCTAAACAATGTTAAACTGTTTTTTAACACATTTTAACAAAATGGGTTTCCAATTCTGGAAGGATTCTTGCGTATAAGTCCAAAATTGCACCCTCACAGTTCAGATTCAAAGTTCACCGCACAGGGTGCCGAATTCGATATGGCTGACGCCATAATTAGGTATCAATTTAAACGGCATAATACAGTTCAGTAGAAAACATAGAAACTCCAATAAAGGTACCAAAAATAGAAACTATAACAAAATACATGTATTAACATCACAAAATGGGGTTAAGCAGACCACCAAAATGTAGCGCAGAAAGAGTCAGTAAGAACATATTACAAATATGTACATGGAGGGATTTTCCCCAAAACAAAGCCTTCAAAAAGGGTGCTACAGTATTCTTGTTGTCACGTATGAACCAGTACTTACTTACGTACTTACGCCCGTTACTCCCAATAGAGCATGGGCCACCAACCAGTATTCTCCAACCCACTATTTCCTGGCGATCCCTTTCCAGCTCTGTCCAGTTTTTGTTCATTCTTCTCACGTCTGCCTCCATTACTTGGCGTAATGTGTTCTTCGGCCTTCCTCTTTTCGTTTGTCCATGAGGGTTCCGAGTGAGAGCTTGTTTTGTGATGTAGTTGTGCGCTTTCCATAATTTGTGTCCCAACTACTTCCAGTGCTTCTTTCTGGTTTCCTCCTCCACTGGAATCTGTTCAATGGATCCGAAGTATTTTGCGTAGATAACTGTTAATAATAAATGCCTTCTGAATGATGGCTTTGGTAACTCTCCAAGTTTCCACCCCATACAGTAGAACTATCTTCACATTTGTATTGAAAATACTAACTTTGGTGCTTGCAGATAGTTGTTTTGAGTTCCAGATGTTGTTCAGCTGTTGAAATGAAGTTCTTGCTTTGCTGACCCGCGCCCTCACTTCTGCATCAGATCCACATTGTTCATCAATGATGCTGCCAAGATATGTATGTATAAGGTATGTTAACGTCCTCCAAGGCATCCCCATCAAGAGTGATTTGGTTGGCGCATGTAGTATCGTATTGTAGAATCCTGCTTTTCCCTTTATGTATGTTGAGATCAACTGCTGCTTAGGCTGCTGCTACACTGGTCGTCTTCTCTTGCATTTGTTGTTGCGTGTGATATAGAGGAGCCAGGTCCAGCTGTATCCTGGCTGTCCACTGAATACCGTGCTTCCCTCCAGGTGTTGACATCTTTATAATGCAGTCGAACACCAGGAGAAAGAAAAAAGGTTGGACTATGCAACCTTGCCTGATACCAGAGATCTTCTCTGTTGTATGGTACAACTGTCTCACGTTTCCAATCTTCCACATATTTACGTATTCAGAATGTGCCTTGGATTTCTGTACTCAAGTTTGGAAGAAGTTGACTTCTTCCTTTCTTTTTCTCCTTTCTTAAATTTTTCAAGAGTACCAACAGAGAACCATTCTTTGTAACGGATAGTACTACTTACGGCCCAGAACCTCGTGAAATTTTGAAGTGATTGCCCCCTTGATCCCTTTCCAACTGTTCTCCATGGTACTTTCTTTTTCATTGAGTAGATGGACCTTAATGCTAATCGGTTACTCTGAATTCCTTGAGTTTGTCGTTATCCTGAAGAAAGGCCTTAGTGAACTATTGTGATGTTACCTCCCCGTTGTCCAGTTTTTCTTGAGTTTCAGTTCCATTGTGGAAACCAGCAAGTGGTGATCTAAGGCTATATCAATTTTTCTGTTGGTTCCTACGTCCTCCATCGTTCTTCTGAACTTTTATTGATACAGATATGGTCGATTTGGTTCTGAGTAGTGCAATGCGGTGAAATCCATGTAGCCTCATGTATGTGTTTGTGTGAGAATATGGTTCCATCTTTGTCCAGTTTGTTGAAGACCCATAGGTTTACAAATATCTCACCATTTTCCTTCCTTTCTCCCAGTCATTGTCGTCTCATGATGTCTTCATATCCAGTGTTGTCCATGCCAACCTTGTAATTTAGGTCTCCCATCCGAATGGTCAAATACTTTGATGAACTGCTCTGGACGATTGACGTCGTTATTGCAGTCGTTTGTAAGTGCATAGCATTGGATGATATTCGTTGAAATGTCCTCTTTCTTTGTTTTGAAGGATGATTTGATGACCCTGGTCCATGAGATTCCTATCCTATCAGTGCTTTTTGTGCTTGTTTGGACAACATCAGTGCAACTCCATGTGTATGTGAGGCATTTTCTTCTTCATGGTCGGAGTACAACAGCAGCTCTCCTGAAGCTAGTCTCACTTGTCCACCCTGGGTCCTACGCGTTTCACTGGTAGTATTTTCTCCTTTCTGAGGCAATCCAGTACAGTCCTGTGGTCTCCCAAGTGGTTCGAACATTCCTTTTTGCCCAAAAGACTGGTTGCTCTGGTTGTGACTTCCGAAGGAACTCGGCTTTCATCATGAGACGTCATAACTCTTCTGAATGGGAACCTTCCAATTGTCAGGAGAGATTTTAAATGGTGTGAATTATTTTTTCTGATTAGCGTTTATTTAGTGAGTTAATTTTCTAAGGGATGGAGTCACTAACTCAACTCTTCTCCTTTATCCCACTTTCGGAATTGTAGTAGCCTCAGAGTGGCTCAATGAAGAGTTTATGAACCAGCACTGAACTCAATAAGAACTACATGGTCACAAACGAAAATATTTATTTGGAATTCGAGTTAAGCATCTAATAATATACAAAGGAATCATTTTTGTATACAACTATTGTAGTGAAGGAGAACACAGGTGAGGGCAACCGAATTGCATTTATCGCAAATTACAGAGTTACTCAGTAAAATAGGAAAACCATATCGTAAACGGTTAATTTGCAAATCTTCAATCCATCATCAATCCATTGTCTGACATTTCACTATTCATGCGTTTCATACAGATTCCATTGTGTTCCCACTCTTCCTTTCTTGATCTTACCCCATCTTCTGCTGCCAGACATTACGTTTACACTCGCGTCATACACTACTTATAAGTAGCGCGCACCACACTATTACAAACATATAAAAAAACTATCCTTTTTTGAAATTTACTTTCTATTAAATCACTATATCTATTCGTACTTAGCAATTCAACACGCCTTATGAAGTGGTTATTTTTCTGATCATGCTAAAATAAATATAATGAGAATCATTGTAATTCATTTAAGGAAATAAAATACATATATTCAAAATAATTGTACATTGTTTTTATTATTGGCTTAATCGTCTACATAGTTCACTCATGTGTTGTAATTTGTCTAGACTGAACATACGCAAAATCACCTTTAAATATGATGAGAGAGATAATGAAGTATCCAGTTCAGTCAGTTAGCCACTTGAAAACTCTTGATCACGATTATTTTTACAGAAATTACAATGTTAACTGTCAATACATTGACATTTAAAATCTTACGTTTACTTGATGATCTTGCAATCCATTAATAATGGTTAATCATTTCACATCTAGATCAACACTTGTCATTTCTCATTGTCAGAATAAAACTAAAGTGATCTGATTGGTTTACTTTAAGTTGTTCGAAATGGTAAATTTTAATGAGATTATTTCGTTGAAATCGATATGATGTATACATCAGTGTACATGTGTCACTAATCTCATCCATAGATGAACGTAAATCACTTTCTGGACAGTATATTCAGCATTTTATAGTAGAGGTGGATAGTGGCTAGCAGTGGAATTCACCTCTCGTAATAATGATTGTAACCTGAGGGTAATTTTGAGGTAATCTACACATAATGCACATATACCAAAGAAACTGATCAATTACAGTTCCAAACATCAATGGGAAGATTCAAACAACCAGTACAAATCAATTATTAAACACTTGGTTTGTAAGAAAATTTACATTCTCTATCATAACCATTATCAACAAATAGTTAGATTATGATTGGTTAGAATAAATCAATAGGTAAACAATAAACTGTTGCTTAGTTATAACACTAAAGTTTTTTTTAACTAAAAAACAATAACAACAAATATTTAACCTCATTTATTTCAATAAATCGATCAGCATTACAAAAATGTTGATGACCGATACTTTTAGTGCAGCTCATGATAACTTGATTAAAAATCATGGGACACCAGGATTATGGTTTACTCATAGAGCGGATTATTGTGAAACACCACCGAAACCACGTGTACGACTTGATGCTATCGGGATAGCTAATCGTAATAGAAAACATCTGACAACAGCGGAAATAAGTGGATTCGTAAATGATTATTCAAATACTGATGAAATAAACATAGAAAAGAAACCACAGCTACGTTTAAGAACATCAGAAGCATATGGTATAGCACAAAAGTCAAAATCAGAAAGTGATAAATGGTGTGATTTTGCTGAGAATTTACATTATCAACCTATGTTAAGACCACCTAGAATAGGAACAGGAGAACTTGCCAAAGTAAGTTAATTTACGATAAATTTTGAATGTAAATACATCATCTTGTAAGTGATTTAGCGATCAATAAACAATGATAATGGATAAAGTCTACGGAAGGAAAATATTACTTTTAATTAAATACAATAAATTAATTAAATCTAATATAGATTCGATAATGACAAGCTTCAGGATAACTGCTTAGTTTCAGTTATATCAGTATAGTGGCAGTAACCTACTAATTCTATTAGATGATGTCATGATATTGTGTTTATTTTTAGGGAGCCTTAGAGTAAGATAACAATGATCTTTATTGCATCGTGAATTTTAATAGTTTGACGAGTTGATATAAACCTGTAATGAAAAATAATTCGAGCTATTCACCACAAACCTCTCACCCAAATGAAATTGTCAAGTTATCATCATAAATTTCGTTAGTTCAAGCAAGCGCAATCTGATCGATTTTGAGATTGACATATTATTGTGTTCGTTATTGCCTAGCTTTAGAAAATGCTTATATTAGTCATTATCAAAGGAGTTAAGTTAGACCCAACTGTAACTAGAGTATCAGTACTCATACAGATGAACATTTATTAGTATCTTAAGTTAGTAAAGAATTTTCTAAATTTTGATTTTATTCACAGTGTATCATAAGAAAGACAAATCTATAATCACAAAATATTCATATTCATATCCGCTATGATTTAACAATAAACTTGTCATGAAATAGGTAGAAAGAGATGAGTCAATTATAAACAACAATAAAAAATAATAAAATAATTACAAATCCAATGAAAACTTGAATATAAATAGAAGTTAGTATAGAATACTCTTCGTTAGTAGTTGTTTAAACTATGTAAACATGGACTTAGTAACTTATTAGCCATGACTGTCATAACAGAGAAAGAAAATTAATAATTCTTCTGTTATTTCATTAACGAATTCATTAAAACAATTTGATCCTATGTAAAATATTTAAGGTCTATGCAACCAATAAACCTTTGATGGACAAGCTAATAGAAAGATTTGTGGACAGGGTTTTGCATTATTATATATTCCTTCACACATTCTCCTATTTCAAATGCTTCTAGAAAATCCTTCAAGTAGTCTGATCTAAGACAAACTTCGGATTCTTTAAATTTATGAGGGTTAGTTGCATAACAGTGGATAATGGCTGATATGGTAAAAATAATTCGACAAGTCATTTTGATGGATTAAAACCACGTTTAGGATCGTCCCATATCAGAAATTCATTGAAACCTGAGGTTGATTTATTCCGTACTTAATTATTGATTGACTGTTTTCATGACCACCACATGAGCTCAGTGCTTTGAATTAAATCCTCTATTAAGTCATAAGAATCCTCTACTTTAAAAGTAAAGACTGGCATACCACACTCCAGCTTCGGATGGTTTTGCATTTGACTTCAGCTTGCGATAACAGGCATCAACAGGTAGAGCCATCCTACTCAATTACTGAGAATCGCTTGTGTTGTTCTTTGATCTATATCACCAGCAGTAATTACATAAATTCACCTGCTCACTATGATGGCGCTTGAATGTTCACACAAAAAAACGTTTCCGTTCCCAAACTACCAATCAGAACACTATAGGAACCAGTCGAGTATCCGTTTTTTTTCTGTACTCTTTAGAGCCAAAATTTCATATAAAATGTATAAAAATAATACAAGACTACGATGTACCATAAATAACAAATCTCAATATGAACATAATTAGGACATGAATGGCAAAAGATATCACAGCAGTCAACAGATGAAACGAAAGCTTACACTGAAGCCAATATAAAAACACTATAAACTAATTTTTCAATATGTATGTATAAATTAGCAGTATTTTTACTGATTCCTAAGAAGTAAGCTTCGGTAATTCCATACAATCATTGATTTACCCAATCGTGAAAGATTGTATGACCTTACGATCGAAGTTTTGCTTAGAAAATATCAAGACTTGATAGTAATACCATTTTATGTTGATATTCCTCTAAAAGTAATTATTTCTTGATGTAAATTCAAAGTTTATTCAATCGATTGTCATTTATTATGAATTTTCAGAATATTTTTCTTTTTATTTAGTCAGTCATTTTCAGATGTTTTCGATAAGTAAATACAATAATTTGACTAGATACAGAAAAAAATTTGTTAATACTTTATTTTTCCTTACTAGACTATTTTAAAGAATATGACACAAGAATCTGATTGGTTTAAACATAAACCATTTAATAAATTACACATTGATTTAACTTCTGATAAAAAGCCGACATCCAGTTACAGTCGGCGTAACGAAATGAACAATTGGTTTGCACATCCACAAACTAGAGAATCTTCAACTCATTTTACAACTAATCAACCAAGAGTAAAGTATGAAGGTATAGAGTATGCAATAAGAAATCGTGTAAGCTGAATCTTTATATTAGAAAAAAACACTTTTCAATTAATTGAATAATTTAATTATTTATTTCAGCGTGATGATGATAATAATAATAATTATTATTATAAACTTTATTACTGTCAAAATGCAGTTTGAAAGTTCCAAAGATTTATGTATCAATTAGTTTCACATAACTATTGAAAATGGATGGATATCGAAGTACAGAGATAATGGAAACAAATTCCTACATTATTTTGCATTAGCTAATATTGATTTTTTCGGGCATGTTAGATCCTTAGAACTAGCTTGATAAATATCTTTATTTTGGATTTATTTCATGGACCGATCAGTTGACCTTGAGACCAAATTTCCTACCGGGAAAATCCTTGTCTGTGATTTGTTACTGTGTCATTTTAATGTGCTATTTTTGTGACTGTCCCAGGGAGATCTCTATGGAATATAAATAAACGCAATTTGAATGCTCGGATTCATTGTGTGCTGGCTGGGTGTTTGTAGATTACACTTTCTAAGATATATCAAGACTTCTTACTGGGTCACGGGATCACAGTGGCCTACCTGAACACTGGTTCATTATTTTATTCTCGTTATTCGACTAAGGTGAACCCGTAATAGTTTCAAGCATACCTAGAGACGAGTGTAACAGATTCCTTTCTCCATATAAAATTCATCTTACAGGAAATAATCCACACCTCTCTTCAAGGTCGGTACAACACTTAGTGTGATAAAATTACCATCTGTGTGCATCAAATAAACATTATTTGGCTTCTTTTTAATTTTTATTTATTTTGATATGAATAATTATGATGTAACTTAAACAGAGAATATGTTTTAAAGTAAAAATGACCCAAATGTATGTAGTGCACCTTTTCAAGTTGTTATTTCATTATAAATGGATACAACATTAAGCATAAATCAAGATCTAAATATCTATGATGATCACTTCAGCGTAACTGTAGAGTGTGTCTTGATTAGCAGCTTGAATTATCTTGAAATAAAAGAAATATATAATGAAGAGACTTTAATTTACTCACCACGTTAGTACTTTGATCCAGATAAACAAGTTCAAAACGAATGCAAGGTGAATGATTAAGTTATCACAAATCGTTAGAACACATCTAAGTGATACTATTTATTTATGAAAATTAGTAAATCGGGACAACTCCTGAATTAACACCTGTATACTGATGTTTTTTTCTGAATCTCAAATAGACTGCTGGATAAGTAGTTGATAGTTACTTCAGTTAAATTAAACATCTTAACATAAGGACAAATAAAAATAAAACTGTGCATATTTTTAAATGATGTTTCATTGCAATTCATCAATAATACTGTTTTATTCAGTGACTACAAAATGAATAACTCTACATTAGACATTGAAATTCAATACATATTACTTGAACTCATTTCATAAAAATTCTTATATATTTTTGACGTGAATCAGCACTATAAACTGATATTAACTAAATGATCTAATTGCCTTACTTACTTACTTACGTACGCCTGTTACCCCCAATCGAGCATAGGCCACCCACCACTTTTCTCCAACCAACTCTGTCCTGGGCTTCCCTCTCCAGTTCTGTCCAATGTTTGTTCATTCTCGTCATATCTTTCTCTATTTCTCGGCGTAATGTGTTCCTTGACCTTCCTCTTTTCGTTTCACCTTGAGGGTTCCATGTGAGGGCTTGTCTCGTGATGCAGTTTGGTGCTTTTCGTAGTGCGTGTCCTATCCACTCCCACCACTTCTTCCTCATTTCCAACTCCACTAGAATCTGGTTTGTTCTCTCCCACAGTACGTTTTTGCTGATCGTGTCTGGTCAACGATTAAGAAGTACTTTGCGAAGATAGCTGTTCATAAATACTTGTATCCTCTGGATGATGGCTTTCGTAGTTCTCCAAGTTTCCGCTTCATACAGTTGAACTGTCTTCACATTTGTATTGAATATCCTGATATTGGTTTTGGTTGAAAGTTGTTTGGAGTTCCAGATATTTTTCAACTGTAGAAATGCAGCCCTTGCTTTGCCGATCAGCGCCCTCACATCTGCATCGGATCCAACTTGGTTTTCGATGATGCTGCCAAGATATGTAAAGGTGTTAACGTCATCCAAGGCATCTCCATCAAGAGAGATTTGGTTGGTGCATGTTGTGTTGCATCGGAGAATTTCGCTTTTTCCTTTATGTATGTTGAGACCTACTGCTGCAGAGGCTGCTGCTACACTGGTAGTCGAATTGCCTGGCTGTTAGTATTTCTGAAAAGTTTCAACCTAACATTAACATACTGTTCATTATTCTTTTTCGGGTTGCCACAACTTGTAATGGAAAAGTATCTTTTTTTCAAGACAATAGTTCACTCAATATTCTATGGCCGATCAGTAACAGTTGATTATTTCAAAAAATGAATACATTGTGGGGTTAGACTTTCGTTATCTTCGATTTCCCGTATATCTCCGTCTTGATGATCTCTACGAGAGAACACGAGTCGTTGCCACAATTTCTTCATTATTCAAATTATTTATTGATCGATACAAATATCGTATTTAATTCAAATATGTATTGTCAATAATGACATTGAATTATTCAAACTGTTAACCGATAAAGCTAGTCAAATAACTATTTGTGTAGATGGCAAGTAATGCCCAAGCGTACATGCGCATACAAGCTCAACAATGACAAAAGTACAAGATATATGTGGGGTGCTACAACAACAAAGTTTCGCAGCGTGTATCTACATCAAAAATAGGAATCATTATCATCAACTATCAATCGAATTAAACCAAAAGTTGATAAATGTAGATTTTTAAAATGTTTCCTATTAAACGTAATAAACCACATTTTGATTGTTTCAAGATTGAATTATGTATCTGAAGTAATTAGATCGAAAAAAACATAATCAATAAAGTCGGTATGACGAGATGAAAAGGTAAAATTACGTTTTTATGCCTCATTGTAACTTTAATTCACTATTAATTCTGTTTTCAACTAAACATATTGATTACTCAGTGTAATATTCATTTTGTTTTCATTGAGATATTTTACTGCATATAAGTGATTGATTTTAGTGTGATGTTCATTCAAAATACGATATTTTCTATATTAAATTAACATGAACTGTGTTTAGCATGAAAAGTACCATATAGTTTTGTTAATAGTCCGTGTTACTTACTTATTTCTACTTAATCATCAAATGGGTATACAAATCAATATATAAATGAGTGTATTTTCGACTAGGGCCGTCAGGTTTTGTAAGGAACAAATTTTCACTTGTACCAAACTCATTTTGTATGGTTCTTCGTTCCTAATATCATGAATCATCCGGTCATGACAAAGTTTCATTGGTTTTAGTCACATGACTATTGGCAGTTAACTTATCTGGTCTAGTTCTAATATAAACAATAGGGTGTAGCAACGTAGATCTTTGCATGATCACTTCCACATTATATTTTGTAAGTCTTCACCTGACCACTAAAGTATGGTAAGGAAAACTCAGATAACTTGTGGTTCCTGTTGATGCATTATTATGAGGGTATCTTTATGTATCACATGGTTTTCTATTCTTAACTTTTATCTGTTTCAAAATTAATTTGTAGTAAATCATTGTTTGGACATAAAAACTATGCATGATCATGCTTGTTACTATAAGTAGGAATCCGACTAACTAATAAAGATCTAAAATTACAAAGTATCACCATATGTTTATGCTAAAATCTTTCAGTTATATGTGTTCACTGATAATAATTCGCCGTTACACACTATATCAATGATATTTGATTGAAGCGTTTTACTTAATCCTTTTCAACCATTCAGTGTTGAAAATACTGTACTCCAGTGTTACTTTTTTGAGGTTAAAAAACTTTGTTGAACTTGAACTTGACTAAGCTTTAACATCATGTACTGACTAGTTATTGATTTGATTCTCTTCTTGAGATCTACAGATGAGATGCCCTTCTGACAATGTGTGTGTGGACATTAAGTTTATATGATAACAAATAAAGATTACAAGTAGGTAAATATAATTTGAGTGAATAATTCCCTAAAACTAAATAGATATGTGAAGAAATAATAAAGTATGAAAGTTAGTTAAATTGTTAATATTCTTTTTCTTATCTTATTGAAAAATATTTGTTACAATAGGGTTTGGATGATTTGCTTACCATGAAAATGTCACCTAACGAACTTCATACCTCATTTGCTTATGGATGTCCAACTAAGGAAGCTCAAACCAATGCACAGTGGTCGAAGACAGGGACAGATATGGCATTATGTTTGGGCAAGAAGTTACAACAGGCAGATATTAATGACCATTCATATTTATCGATTCGACCACAGTCTGCAGGTGTCCGAGGATCTGATGCTGAACAGTGGAGACTAATTGGTCGCAGTGGACACATCAATAGTTCCATGTCTCTTGACAATAAAGAAGGTGATTCGATTAATTCAAGCAAATTATTTTGATCTAAAGATAATCAACAAAAACAAAGGCTCATCAAGATTCTTTTATTATTATTATTATTACCACTGCTAGAGTCTGATATACCCTCTATTGACTTAATTATAAATGTAACAGTACGCTAGATTAAAGCTGTAGGTGGACTGAATAAAAATAAATACTCTTAGTTTATTTATCTAGTTCTGACAGAATGGGGAATTTTAATATTTGATAATAAAATGGTTGTCAGCATCCTATCCCTCTACAAAAAATAACATTTTCTTGAATGCGTTCTAGTATTGTTCTGCCTGTTGTACGTTGAGTTCAGTAATTATTATTTTAGACAATAGGCAGCTATATAATAGTCTGTCACTATTATTGTTATTATTGCTACTTCCAATATTTATCATCTTCATGATTACAGTAAGGACAATATATCGTAAATAGATTTGTTGACTTTGCTGAATAGAATGAAACAGGATATCAGGAATTCGAATATTCAAAAAGCCTTTATAAATATATAACACATCAAAATGATCAAATATAAAAATTACAGTTAAAGTTGAACGAAAACTTGAGGATTCAGAATACCAATGTTATGTGTGATAAGTAAATTTAGATATATGGTTTCAAAAAATGTGTAACTTAACAATCTTCACAACCCCGTAATGCAACAAGTAATTAATTATAAGAGTTTTTAAACATTAATATTTGCATTAGAAGATCGATAAACAAACTGGTGTCTAACCAGACTCAGTAGCTGAGTAGATTTATATTTAAACTGTTATGCTTCATTTCTTTATTTTATCAAAATTAGACTCTTCAAACATTGTGCATCATCGTGTTCGACCAGACGGTGAAAGTATTTTGGAGAAATCAGTTTCTGGTTCTCAAGTTATTGATTGCTTAAATATGCAGAATAATAATAAAGAAGACAGTATTACTGCTTATCCTGGTAACCGTCTCAGAACTGAAGAAGCTATTGAAGCTATGAAACGAAATCAAGGCCAAATGTCTGATCTTCTCGGTAGTAAAGCAAGTTCAGTAACAAAGCATTATGGAAGAAAATTCCAAGTGAGCTAGTATGAAATGTACTCTTGATTCTCAAATGTTTTTTCACAGGTTTAATAGAAAATGATATTTCTTTGTTTCTTAAAATTATTTCATAAACTTGCACTACATTTGTTGTTTAGTTTGACATGACTCTTTTTCCATTTATACTTAGACATGCGCGAACTATTACTATTTCATGAAATGGTTCATAAGATAGGAATAACTCAAAGACATTTGTTCATCACAGTTTTACAATAAGACTAAGCCATCTAAAATCTAGGAATGTTCAACATTTGTTTCCTCCTAACCTGACTATCAGCCAACTAAACGAAGTCGTCATCATGAGGCTTGAAGTGTACAGATTCAGTCTTGTATGAGTACTAATGTGAACTATTCGCACATTAAATTTTTGAAGTATCAGCTAACTTCAGGGGTTCTCCAACTAATACTGATCGGCATTGACGAAGTTTTTAAATTATACTTATATTAAATTTAGAAGTTGGTCCATTGGAACTTTAAACTTATAGTTAATTTCAATTTCTGACTAGAGTTTTTAAAAATTTCCGACAGTATCACATGTAATAAATTTATTAATCACTCGTTTTTCATCACCTCATATAATGAATCATTCTGCTACATGCAATATAGAACCGGAAATATTTGTGCATTGGGCGAATTCGCCACACATTACTAACAATCGGATAAATGCTCAGAATGTACAGAGTGAATTAACTAGTCACTTAGTTGTCTCATGAACAAAAATTAGTTTAGGCGCTTACCGAATCCGTTTCATAAAAGTGTTTGAATAAATTTGCAATTTCATAGGATCAATATTTGATTTATATTTTATTCTCTTGTGTAACGGTCGTATAGATCACAAAACAGACAAAATTTATTTATACAATCATTGAAAATCAGAAAATACAATCAGATGTGAAAATAATTTACTCATCGAGTGTGGTTGTTAATTTTGAAACTCAAAATACAAAATGGGTTTTACATATCAATAAAAATAAGTTCATATGAATATCATCGCTTATTAGATTTTTCCGTACATTTTTATAGTTAAAGATTATCATTAATGAGAGTCATCGTATTGTTAATTTTATCAATTCTGGTTTGCATTCGGTGAAATAGTGATAATTAGCTGTTTATCGAAAAGACTGGTAATAGTTTTATTTATCTTTTTACCGATTCCTTACATATCTGCAAGGTTCGTGGTATAAGAGGATCAGAAGCATATGAAGCTGCATTGAATAATAAAGGTTCTGCTATGAAAGAATTGATTACACATGATCGTCTACCTCCTAGTCCTATTGGATGCGGATGTGCTCATATTAGTCAAGAAGCTCAGAAAACTGCTAATCTAAGCCGTAATGGTATGATTTCTGGTTTACTCGGTGGTTCTTCAACATCAAATATACCACTTGTTGGAGTTGAAGCACCCCGACAAAGACATGTGCAATATGAAGCTATTGAATATGCGAATCGTGATCAAGGCCAAGAAATGCGAAGTATTTTAACACAAAATTGGGAATAAAAAATATTAGTTAACTTTACAATTTTTTTTTTACGAGGAGAAACAAATATTATGTAACCAGCTATACTTGTAATAAACGTATTCACGAAAAAACTTTATTTATTGTTTATCTGTACAATACAGTTACTCATTTTATAGACAGACAAAATAGTACTTGCTGTCGCTGTTTTTACAAATAGAAATAAAGTGGACTTTGGTTAGATTTAAACAAAGACCTGAAAAAAAAATAGTCAAAACTCTGTTATTCTTTAAGGAATTACACTTTATACTTTAGTCTTATACTAATGCATTAAAAGAGTCGCTATCCAAATAATTAATTTAAAGGATCAGCTAAAATACTAATTTACTCAAATGAGAGAAGTTATTTTATGCTATCGAGCCTATCGGATAGAGAATTTTAGTTTCATGTATACAAATTACAAATGTACTCTCAGATAGCATTCGCTTCATGGATGTCTTCTTTTGGAGAAGTTTTTTATATGATAAGGTGAAAAAGATAATGTGCAAGTTAAACTACAAACAACACTTACTACCACGGAGGTTAACTTAATCAAGAACATAAATTAATAATTAGCTTCCTGTTTGTCAAGAATAAAGAAGTATTCTTGAGTTGTACATAATACCTAAAAATTTCGAGAATATCTTCAATGTAATTCTCAGATTGTGATTTCGTAACGTCATTAAACAGGCCTTTCACTCATTTGGAATTAATATATTATCAAACTCAGGTAATCTGTTCATGACCAGATAAGCTACTATCGAATGAGTATTTGAAGCAATCATAGTTTATAGAATAGATAGAATGTGACTAACAGTAGAATGCAGGATGCGACTATCTTGACTCAGTAGTGAACAGTGAGATGGCGTATGATGCAAACGGTATTGGGTTCGAGTTCCGTGGTGAACATCGACTTACATGTAGGTACTTCGAGTCGAAAAGTCTCAAATAGTAAGAAACGCGCGTCTTAGGTTCCAGAGCTAGCTATATTCTATTTCTTCTGTATACATTTGTGTCATAATGACTGCATCGATACAATTCATAAAGGATGTCCATATGTTAACTAAGACAGATTTAACATTATTTATAACATCTACAGAGTAAGAATCCAAACCATTCAAGACTAATTTAAAATGTCTTGCTTTAAAACAATAATAACCGATTAAAAGAACAAAAGCCACGAGAATTCAACATATACAATTAGATTTAGCTAAACTTCTGCTGCAACTTGAGTAGTTCTCCCAGTCTACCACACTGTAAAAACATTCTACTTGACTAAAGTAATTGTCGCTCTGTTTGTAAGAAGGGGCTTCGACCTTGTAACTTCCGATGAGACTCGGTTTTCATCACGAGGCGATACAACTTTTCGAAATAAAGACCTTCAAACTTTCAGGGCAGAGTTTAAATGGTTAGAATTACTTTTTCTGGTTAGTGTTATTTTAGCAAGTTTCATTTCAACGGGATGGGGTCACTAACCCTATGCTTAACCTTCCTCCTATATCCAGGCTTGGGACAGGCAGTAGCCCCAAAAGGGTGCAGGCGGAGTTTGTTTGTTACTTCGTATTTACTTATTTATAGAGAAGTAGAAATACTGAGTATTTAACTGAATCAATCGAACCAATCATTGCTGACAGGGTGTGCCAACATCAGGGAAAATCTCATTCACATTAAATCCAGCTAAATAAAAGCGGAGTTATGTGTATTTAACTACGCATTGGTAATACATGCCTTTACAAATGACAACAACCTTTTAAGAAATTTACATATGACCATGGAGTAATACTTAAATCAGGGAAGTAGTATAATATTCTTGTTTGTAATTAAATGGAATGGTATCCCTAGATATTATCTTACTAACATTGTAAGAGATACGTAAGATAGTGACTATTAACGGCTGCACATGGTTTCGACGGTTATTTAAATTCTCATAATGGCATCAACTAAAGACTAACTGAAAATACAATGGACCAGTCGTGTACATGTATTATAATGTCCATCTGCTGACTACAGCTATTTGAGTTAACTAATAAATGAATTGGTGAATAATCTCATAATTTTCTATCTTCGTGCATGTGCGGTGAACACTCAATTAAAGTTTGTTACTAAAAAATATATTACTTATGAGTAGTTAAATATATATGGCAAAGATTTTTACCTTGTTGACAGTACTTGAAACAATTAGTCTCTTTAATAAATTTTGATAGAACAGTCAGAAGACTTAATTGATCTGAAAAGTGTGATGTATTTACGCCATAAATTTCGAACAATCTGGTCACACATATTTACTTGTCAAGGCATTTTATATGAAGATGAATAAAAGGTCAATTAAATAAAAGTTCAAATGGACATCAGGTGATGATTGTAAATAAAGGAGAGAGAAAATTAACGTAATATGAAAAGAGTAAGAAACGGTAGGTTCTAGACTTTAATTTGTCATTCAATGAAAGGACGCTAAAAGTAGCTAAAATTTTAACCAAATCTATGTGTGTATGTGAAATTTTCATGGCTTTTGATTTTCTCAAAGTTATTAATCGGTTATTATTGTTTTAAAGTAAAATATTTTTGCTTCAATTACGTTCAACAATGTTGAAAAGTGTTTTTAAAAGAATTCTGGATAAATTTATAGAACTACCGTGATTAAATAGCTAAGAAAAACAGTAAGTTAAATAATATTATCTCAACCACTTAATATAAATAAGTCCACTGTATTTAGTTGTAAACCTAGACTTAAAAGTATTAAGAATTATCAGACTATAACCTTGTTATTGGAATTCGAAAATAAATGTGTACTTGACCTTATTGTGTTACGATATTTGTCCCATGAATGAATCACATTTCACCTCTAATTGTATGAGCAATATAATTGTACCTAGAATTTTTTTTTTAGATGAAAGAGATTAGTGAACGTATATCGATAAAACTTGACTTTAATCAACTAATCACCATATCTATGCATAGTTGAGTCAATATACGGGTTATGTGTCCTGGATTATTATGTCTGTTAATGATCCATTTGTTCATATTATGTGACGTTGACCTTTGAAATAATCAGTCGATTTTTGTTAAAAGCAACTGAGACTAACATTATAAACGAATTAGTAGTCTGTCATTTTATTTTATACTAGTTAATCATTTTCATTGTTACTTGTAGATATACTGAAATCAATAGGTAAGTTTTTGTTGACACTTAGGCTCTTGATGAAAATGTATCACTATCATTATCGTTTTGATTTCAATAATACTGTAAATAACAGTTTAATTTGTAGTGTGAATTTTATTTTACTAGAAACTAGTCAGTAGAATTCAACCATTCAAAATTGAGCCCAACCGTTTTAAACACAAGGGATTCAAAATTAGTTTATAGACATAGGATTTTAACAATTTCTACGTAAATTTACTACTGTTATTATTACTATTGTGGTGTGAGCTACTTATAAGTAGTATATGACGTGAGCGTCAACGTAATGTCTGGCAGCGGGAGATGGGCGAAGATCAAGAAATGAAGAGTTAGAAAACAATGGAGTTTGTATGAAACGCATGAATAGTGACATTCGACTGATGTTTGGCAACAGGAACAGTCCAGTTCGATCGGATGAACTGGTATTTTGCAAATGAACGATTTACGATATGGTTTTCCAATTTTACTGAGTAACTCTGTAATTTCGCTAAATACAATTCGGTTGCCCCACCTGTGTTCTCGTTCACTTCACTATTATTATCAATGTTCTCAATTTAGCGTTGTTACTTGTTACATAAAACAACTTCAGTGTATAGATATTACAATTATCATTTTATGAAAGAAGAATTAATGTTCACAGATATATCTACATATGCATCGAGGTCATTAAATATTGATCTGATAATATTCCATTTGAAAAGAATCCCATTTATGTTGTTAGAAAACATTTCAACATTTCAATTTCATGATCTTTTAAAAAAAACACATTAGTTGATTCTTCATTGTTAAAGTTTTGATTGAGAACTAATAACATCTATGATACAGAAACGACCTGTAAAGACAGATGAATTTCACACAAAAAACATCCAAGAAGTTTGATAATTAGTCTAAATTGTTCCGATTATGCAGTATTTTACAATCGGGTTTGTTTGAAGATTAAGCGTTAGGATTTTGGATTAATGTTTATTTACTTGTCATATATACAATCTGAATCGAAACAGAACAAGATTCTCGACGTTTTATTTTTGCTCAAGTCAATACATTATTTCTCGGTATCGTGAATGACAAAAAAATTTGTTCAAATGACGAAACTTAAATTCTAACTAAGATTCAAGCAATTAAAGGATACATACCATCTACAAACCATGAATATGGACATGGTACTATTAACAGATAGCTTTTGCATTTGAAATTTAAAAAAAGGAAAGAAGTAATCATTGTCACATTTTTAGCCTCTAATTTTTTTAATACAGGGATTATAGATAATATTGGGTTGTATAACTTTATAGACTGTCTTTAGTCAAACAGGTATTAGTATCTACGATGAACTTAATAGGTTTGTCTACCTTAGTGTATGACCTTACAGCAGTGTGTGTCTACAGTTCACACTAATTAGGTTGATAGAAGAAGGGTGAATATCAATGGGTGGGAGTGAAAAAGGGCGCGGTTTTAAGGTGCGTACGTCAATAAGAGCGAGCATCGATGAGGGAAGTCATCAAAAAGGGCTTGCATTTTTAAGGGCAACTATCAAAAAGGCTCATATTAGTAAAGGTGAACATTGAAAGGATGAATAGCATTTTTAAAGTTGTGAAATAAGTTCGATTTGCACTCTCTCCCTTAGCTTTACGGCCAATCAGATCCCTAGTTTGTCTACTTTCAACAAATACTGTAATTTTTCGAATTCGGTCACAAATTGTCATTGTTAATAGCCTAGTATATTTCGAACAGCTAGAATATAGTCTATTTAACGGGATGCTTGTGTGTGTTGGATTCCCAAAAGATGAAGCGTATGTTACACAATTTCAGTGACTGAAAATGTAAAGATAACTGACTGAATTACATCTAAGTATTTGATAAACGAAAAAAGTTTATATTTATTTCTTGTGAAGTAAGATATTTGATGACA